AATGCTGCGTAATATTAGCCCTTCACTGTATTCCCAAACGTCCAAACGGGCAGTTTTTTGAAATTTTCACGTTGATTTTTCTCACCGATGCAATTTATGTGACTCGCAATACACCCACTGCCTGATTCGTCTCGTCGTTACGTGTATTTGTTTGTTGTGCAGGTTACGGCGCCACTTATCGGTTCGAGGTGTCTCTGCTGAATAACTCGCTCAGTGGACCGGCTGCCACACTCAACGTGACGACGCCAGATGCAGGTCAGTTTTATGTCGCTAGTGCTGACCCGATTGAAATCCAACCATTCCCACACCGGGAACAGCGTAGGCACGAGGCGGTCTCTAAATAAGGTCAACCTGAAGCGTAAAATAAAATAAAATCACGTAAGAAAAGCAGAAAACATAAGAGTTAGCAGCACGGGGAAAGCAGTTTGATACTTTCTTCTTCTGATAATACTTTTACAAATGATATCCTTGAGATTCACATCTTTCTACAACAAAAGTATATTTTGTTTCTATAATTATTAGTGTTCTTTTTATGCAATTTGCGAATTTTCAAACCACTTTCAGAGGGAGAGAATGTAATAGCACCTGTTGATTAGTCAACAAAGCCTTGTCTAGAGAAGTCACGGCAATACACGGTGATTTTCATCAATACTTACTCTTTTAGGAAACTGTTTGACTAATGTCTGGTTCATTCGGGAGTGTATGATCCATGTTGTCGAAGGAAGCGATGGTCACTTGAACGCAACCAAACTGAAAATGAATGAGAAGGGTGACGATGGTCCGTGTTCGAGCACATGAGCTTGAAAGGGCCGGCCTAACCTCCTATACCGCTCTACCAGTATGGACCACCTATCCGTCTGAAAACCTGCTCACTCCCCCCCCCCACAAAAAAACATAAATAAAGGTGACCCCACTTTTCCGGTTTTCAGAAAAATTGGCGTATTATTGAGGACACTGGTTAGGCATTTCCACCTAAAGAACCATCCACTTTGGGTCGGAATCACACCGAATCCCACGTAATGGTTGATATCTTTCGATCACCCAAGTCTATCAATTCGTGGAATTTCTTTTTGTTTATAGGAAACGAGAAACAGGAGAATATGGTTTAGCCATTTTTATAAGAAAATCTCAATGTACAAGTACCGGTTAATTGTTTCCTTCAGGTTCTAGAAACAGACCTGAATTTCGGTCACCGGTATGTGAATGCCAAATCAGTCAGTCTCACCATCAAATTTGTACGAAGCGAATGATCATTGCTGTCCATACAGATGACTTGTTTCTGAGTCCATCTGACATTTCATCGTGCGAGTGCTGAGATCCAGTCCACACGATGTGTGAGCCAGTCCGTCACGTTAGTGTGCCCATCAACCAGGTGCTATCCAGTTTGTGTGGACCCCTATTTATCGACCACACAAATCGGCACTATGTTGCTTGCAGTTTGATTTAGGGGCTGATTTCACAAGGGACAGGTCATTCCGTTACCGCCAAAGACTAACAAATCTCAAGAAAATATTAGTATCATCCAAATGTGGATCTCTGGCAAAAAATAGCTTTCTAGTAGCAAAAGAATGATGGAATACCCAGCGCTAAACTGGAAATCGAACATCATGGTTTAAATCGTAATCACCTATGGGAGATAAGGTGTATTCATATAACCGAGAATGAAAGTTTTCCAGTTCATTGGTTTATGAGGATCCGCTTAGTTATTGCTTGAAATCTGAATCAGGTGCAGTCTACGTGAATCGACAGGCAATTCATAGTACTTCAATAAATCGATATCCTGTGGGATTATTCACAAGAATGAACGACCATAGACACTGTCGTTGTCCTCCGAGATTGACCGTTATTTGTCTTATGTTCAAAAATCCTTAAATGTTTCTCAAAGATTAAAAAAATTCAATGAAAATGGACTCGTAAGAACTAACGGATATCGGTCATTCAATCTCTTTCATGAAATTCAAATCTTCATATCTGTGTAAATCTCGAGGTAGAATGATCAATGCATCCCGGGGCTAAACGGACTTCAGTGAGCAAGTTACACGGGGGCGGACCACATTTTTCGCAATGAAAATTCTGCTTTTTGAATATATCTCATTATAGAATAAAACATACTACAATGAAATTTCATATTTCGGCCTTGCATTTAGTTGCTGTCGAGATTCTCAAAGATGGTGATGCTCGTGCATTTAAGAAAGGGGACGATGCAAAAAATCTAGGGGAGTGCAGTAATTTTGTCGAGGGGTGTATTTGGTTATTGTCATTGAAGCAGAGGAGACTGATTGTCATTTTTATAACCATCGGAGCGACTTTCGCGTACCATAAAATGAGTATCAACCAAAACGGATTATTCAAGAAAGGAGTACTTCAAAATAGGTTTATCATGTTGCTCTGTGGCTCTGTAATGTCACCCATACGAGTGAATTGCGGGAATGCACCGGATTTTATTAATGTTTACCTCAATCAGTGGAAGTCCACATGGCCAATAAAACGTTGCCCTTTTGCACATAACTTCGGGTACTGTAGCCTTCATCACCTGAAATCCAATGCTGCCGACGAAATGAACTCAGGGAAACTCGTAATAGGCGTTTAATTTTTCAACTTTATAACGGGGTCCGTATGTTTTTGTAGTCACAAATGCAATCTCCACTTATTTTCGTGAGATCTTAGGCAGAGCTGATTGAAATGAGGCAGTTAGATGGTAAGCACAATTTTAAGGTAGTCAATTTGAAAAAAACTTACCTATCCGTTCTTTTTGCTTATCGACCTAATTAACGCTTACTAACACTTCAGTAGTCGTGGGTTGGGTGATGAATAAGTCCATGTCGGCATTGGCGTCACTTGGTACTTCGAGACCATTGGATAGGGTTTTCAGAGCATGATTAATGTCAGCGATAACATACTCTGGGAATGGATGAAAGCTAAAGCCGGCAGTAATAATGTTGTGAAGATGGCTCCAAATGCCTTCCACTTATTCGAACAAACACAACATGTAAAAGGAAAAACCTTTTGCCCACACATATGACTTATACCTTCTTACGTTTTTCTGCCACGTCAGCTTTACTAATAATTTGACACCTTGACTGTTGTGCTTCAAACTTCAAACATACTTTCCGTATTTCTTTTCATTAATACGACCTCAAAATGCTTCATTTTGGTCACTATGCTTTCGTGCAATATCAATGAATTTATGTTCTGTTTAAAATTTGAAATTACCACCGTCGAATATGACATACATTAACTGCACTCCGATTTTAAACATTCTCAACAGCTCCTTCAACAAGTCCGCTTCACGTAAGACTGAGTGGTCTTTCGTCAAGCGCGGTAGAAGTGAGTTGGGCTCCACCGCCGGTTCAGTATCGGAATGGGCGTATCACCGGCTATCAAGTTCGATATTTCGAAGTCGGAGCAGAGACACAAACGGAGACGATGGCTAAAGTGACTGTGCCCGGACAACGGCAATACACGGCCAAGGATTTGAAAGAGAAAACGTTCTATACATTCATGGTTCGTGCGTTCACCTCCGCTGGGCCTGGTCCATGGTCTGGGGCTAGCAATATTCGAACCAGCGTAGAACGTGAGTGATGTTTTGCAACGTGGAACACAGATATCGTTTTTATAAGTATACATAATACTGATTATTCAGTCACAATCTAAGGATCAATGTCGTCCATGTCGGAGTTGAACCAACAGGTGCTTTGTCTCTTTACCAGTCTGCACTTCCGTTTGAGCACAATTTCAGGAAATCCCTGCCTGTAGTCAATTTTGTTTAATGTGGTTTGGATGCTGACTCATGGCGCCACACAGGAAGTTAGAAATAACTGTTTTCCCTTAGGTTTTAGAGAATGCACTAGCAGGTGATCTGATAATTTGATGAAAGTTTAGAGCGGAGGAAATATTCAAATTACTGCAGAAGAAAATATCATAATAGAATATGGTGCAGATTCATAGAATTGCATTTGCTCACCAAATGTTATCGTACTGGAATTTGGTGCTTACTTCGCTCCCCTCTTCCCCCGGTTTTTGGGTTTATTCATATTCCTAATGGATTATCCGTCTACATTTTATTGATTGAAAGTTGAGGTATTCTTTTACAATTACTACATTTGGTTTCGTTTCTCATTTGTTCAAAATTACGAGTAAACATCCAAAACGGCTTTGAGGGAAGGTGACAATCCGAATTAAATTCTGCTGGGTGTTAATTCTGTATTAAGAACTAAGGTTGAATGTTTGGCGATCACATAATTATTTGTCCATTCAAACGTTACTTTCCATTCACAGATAAGGGCTACGAGAGTTCAAGCGCATGCAGAAGATGTTTTCGAGTACAAAAATAAGGTTGTTGAAACCGATTCACCCCTCCCCTAAACCTCTCAATAATCGATCCAAAAGTTTGCACATCAGTCACTGCCAAGATGTGATCATCCGAAAGAAACTACAAAAGTGTTCATTTTAAAGGCTACTGCAGGAATAATCTACAACTAAAACGACACCCAGGTCAGATAGTCACGCATACGATCCCAGCGATCATATTGCGCACGCACTTCATTAGCTAACTGATGCTTCTGCTAAATCTGGATGATCAACCGTCTGCTCTCTCATCAAACGTGTAAACCTAATCCTCTGTTAAATCATGAAGGCACGAAAATCCTAACCAGGAGACTAGGTCACATAGGCCCCGTTAGACTCCCTGGTTGGGAACCTCGGGATGATGGTTACCGATGGTTTGATACACCGAGTGATATGGCCGGATGTCGCAAACAGTGGTGCTCGTACATTCACTCATTATTCCCCTAACACCATACTATATGAATTCTCCATCTTCCGCTTGAATTTGCTTTCAACATTCTGCTCTTTTATCCAAATGGGGCACCAAAAGACAGCAACCAAAACCGGAGCACGAAAATGCACGATTAATGATTCTAAAAACTGAAACTGTTAAGCCATACACAGAAAAAAACGATGAAGCAGTTTTGTCTTAGACAAGCAACATATATCTACCTAAAGGAATTTGAACACAGGCAGAGCAATATTCGGTGCACGATTGATACTCCGTGATTACTGGACACCAGTGAACAAAGGCCCATTTGGTATTCACCTAAGCCGAGCCAACAAAACACGACGTCATTTTACCAAAGTGAAAGCTATCATAACAAGCTCCTTGCAGTGCACTTTAGGCTTGCAATAATAATACCCCAAGCTGTTCAACTAGTTTGACTCAGGCCTTACACATAACCACAACTCAATCGTGACCGTTCACATGACCGTTTGATGTAAGCCAGAAGGGTGATATCTGAATTTTCCAATTTCACTCTGATGAACCAAAACGACGCACCGTTATTCGAGCTTCCATAGAATCGGTGAATCTGCTCTACCCGTGATACATGACGAGGACTAGGGGACTTCTCGAGACCTCTAAAAGATTCCCGGATGTTTCAAACGGTGGATTTAAAGATAAACCGAAATCGCTTCAGAATTTTTAAAATTAGCATCAGAATGGGACGGACGTATGTGGTAGGCTAGTCTTGGCCATTTACGTCATCAGATATGACTTCTTCAAATAAATAATTAAAATGACATAAAAAAACAGTTGATAGGTGTGTCTGTGTCTGTCAAGAGATACGACGTTGATTTCGCACAGATCCAAATTAACGAACAGATTTATTCAGCCAACCAGCATTCCTACTCCAAAACTTTTTACCGAGTATGCATGAATTTGCAATTGTCCGTTGGTTATTCCGTCACATTTGAACCCCTCGGCCACTTAAACACTAAATAAAAGCAAAAAATTTACTAACCTTGGTTCTTTTGTGAACAGCTGTGGAATTCAATTAAATTTGTTCTGGTACAATGGATGACATTTTAAAAATGGTATTTGCTTCCGTCAAAATCTATTAAACTAGTCAAACGCTCGCTATACTTAGACTGTCTCCAACACTTTGTCTCAAGTTTGCTACTCTTCAATTAACTCAACCACCTACTGCCCCCTCCCCAGAGCACCTCTGGCTAAAACTTGCGCGGTGTACGATGCACCGGTCTTACTTCTCATATCCTCACTCCTCGAATCCGGACAGTCTGCTAACGTGAATGTCAAAAAGAGGAGAACGGTGGGAGATCGTTTTCACTACAGTCAAATAAAAAAGTTGTTATTTTTGCTCGACAGACTAACTGCGCCTCACTCCCTTTATGGGTTTAGTCTCTAGGGTATAATTAGGATTGTTGAGTGATGGTGTCATCATATGGAGAAATCTTCGTGGTCCGGAAATCGTAGTATTTACGTTTGCCCCGGGGTGGGATTGGACAGGGGTGGGGTAAACAAAAACGGCCTGGATTCTATCCTAGCAGATAGTGACACGGACACAATTCGTTCGATGCTACTGCTATCGTATTGTTATGGGGGGGATGAATGTGAACCAAAGGAGTCAATACCTGGATGGTGATTTTTATCAAACATCACCAGATATCTGATAAGAATCCCAGGGGTTACCGATGACACCGTGATTTTAAGCATCGAACTTGTTGCACAAACGCACGCACAAACACACAAAACAAGCAAGTTTCGCAAAATTTCTCCAATTTAAACTCCAAACCGTCTTCACCGAAGTTCAACTCACATGCAGTGGTTTGAGAGAGAGAGCAAATTGTTTTGAAATTGATCTTCTTTTTTATAATCGGAGGTTCAAACCCCGAGTTCAATTAAGTGGGGGGATTTCGTTTTACTTCGAGGAATACAAGAAGATGAAATGACGTTGACGGAAAACTAAAAATGGAGAACAAACTATATCGGGGTTCCACCAAACGAGACAACTAAAGATACTACAACTAGCTTATAGTCCTCAAATTAAAACAGCTGATCAAAATTAATATTTTTCGAGCATTTAGATCCCGTGATGAAATTGAATGGGCAAGTCAAAATGCAAACACTGCGAGAGGAATTCTTTCGGTTGAGTTCGTATAAAATCAAACCAGATTTGCGACTATGGAATGGATTGAATTATCTATAGTCTATATTTTGTTGTGTTGTGTGTGCTAACACGTGATTGGTTGCAGTGGGGTAAACAAAATTAAAAAGCCCTCAGGTAAAGTTTGTACGCCTCTGGATACACAAGCGCTGGGAAGAATGTGATCAATTAATGACGCATCGAGAATCCTTAATCAATGTTCGTTGTGAGGACGTAACCAAACGAAGAACGCGTTCGTAGGATTCAACTGATAACCACCTTTGACCTATTGGGTGCGACAACCGAGATTAGTCTAGATGATGCAGTAAGGATGTTTGTATGAGATACCCAGTAATTGATGCTGCCTGACATTTTCAAGCGTGTGATTGGCGCGTTGTTGAATGTAGCGAGAGAAAGAACATTTTTCAACAAAAAATTGTTTGGTGACGTGTTCATTATTAGTAATCAGTTTGAACACATTGATGTGGCAGTAGATGAATCTAACAGTGCACACCTAACTTGAGATTCGAGTTCAAAGTTGAGAAGGAATACTCACTGACTGATCCCGATATTTTAATAACCCGAAAATGTAATGGCTGGATTCGACTATCTATCTTCTGGAAGAGGACTTGGTCCGGAAAGTCCCTCCATTTTAACAACTTATCAACCATCGAACACAAGAGGACCTGGGTTCAGACGTTGTTCCATAGGTTGGGGACAGTGTGGACGGAGGACACCAAACTAAACTAATAGGAGAATATCTTCCCCACAGTACGGGTATCTAGATCTATCTATACGTTTTCATAGTGAAACATGACAACATATCCAAGCCTTCACCCATTGGATGCTTAAAATGGACATCCACATTTACCTCTCAAACAACAATACAGCTTATCAAAACGTATCAAAAATGCACCAGAAGGGGCCTATTAAGCCAATTCATTTCGTCTGCATTCGGTCCAAACGGTACCTTCCTACGCCCCCATTCAAGGAACGCTACTCAGTCAAACATACTTCTCACTGCATCGACGGTTTTCTTTGTAGCTGTAGGGAAGTATAAATTGAAAGGACTGACCGTTCGTTGTGAATGTCCCAACGTAAGTGAATCAATAACTCAGACTACAACACCAATATCTTTACTGTGTCACTCAGCCTAACCACGGTCATCACATACTGATTGGTGGATTCTATGAACATTCTCCGTTTTCCTACGTCCTCACGACGATGATCGACTGAGGATACTCGAGGCATTTGTTTCACTCAAAATATACCCACTATGATTCCAGAGGCGTATGATCTTGACCTTTGACCTACTTGACTGTAACCAATCACATATGAACACACCCCACAAAACAAGAAAACTAACTAGGTTTCTTAATATATTTCATATTTGTCAGCTTTGTATAACGTTGTGCGAACATGATCGATGGGAGTATGCGAAAACATTTTCTGATTTTCCCGTTCAAATCAATATTTCAGTTGGTCGTTTTCGGGTTCATTGATAAAAACGGAAGATATTCTCACATGTGTACACATAACCAAAGATCATCAATTATTGAAGAGGTGATGCAACTACCATGGTAAAGAACACTTAGATATACGAGTAATCTTTGTCAAACTATGGGAAAGGACTGAC